GAATAATATAATGTCATAGCAAAATTAACCATAATGACAAATTACTATTATCACACTTAGCTTCCATTGTTATTATCATAGCAAAATTAATATATAAGTGTGTGCTTATTGACATGCAAACTAGTATATAAGTATGTGTTATTATTACATCTATAAATGTATGTTACTATCACAACCAAACAAAAAAATTACAATATAAAAATTAACTAATATGAGACTAATGCCAAAAAAATTATTAATCCTAAATTATTATATATATATATATATATATAATTTTTAATCTAAAAAAAACTTGAACAAGGTGACAATATGAGTGTGGCAGCAACAAGACGATGACTTCAACAGCTCAACAATGGGCAAAGGTGTTGGCGAGTTTTGACGAGGGTAGTGGCAAATTGAACGGTAACATTCTGTGACGCACGATCAGATCGGCTCTGTGACGATGCGATCAAATCTGTGAGGCGTGAATAGATATGCAAAATGCATAACGATGCCAAACGGAAGAGAGCAAAAATAACGAATCAGTGACAGTAGCAGGATGGGTAACGACGCGATGAAGAGCGAAAACAGTGACGACAGTTCGGCTCTTTAATAGCAGCCTCTGGCGACTGATAAGAAAGTTGGTGGGGTGAAGTTGAAACTGTCGAAAAAAGGAAAGGGAATACACCGAATTAATGCACGAGTTTAGTTAAATAAAAATGTTTTAATCACCAATGAGCGCTCTGAAAGGTTAAGCCTTGGGAGCACTCGTCACAGGCACTCCCAAAGGACATATTTTTTTTTTGTAATGACCTTTCAAAGGGCTCATGTATGAGTGCTCTGAAAGGTTTTATATGAGTTTTTTTGGAGCATTCATATAAAGAGCACTTCAAAATGAAGGCCTTTACGAGCGCTCTAAGTTGAGCGCTCCGAAAGGCCACATAATTTTTTTTTTAATGAATTCATTTCAAAGCGCTCGAAATTGGAGCGCTCCGAAATGTTATTGCTTTAGATCACTCTTCTTTTAAGCACTTCTGAAGGTTTATGTAATCATTTTATCAATTGTTTTAATTTTGAAGAACTAATTATTTGAGCAATCTTAAATGTTTAATTTTTTTAAAGAAATTATTTTAAAAATTTAGGAATGCTCCTTACAATGAGCATTTCTAAAAATGACGTATCGCAGCGCTTTTTAAAAAAGCACTTTAATAAATTCTACTATCATTTTTTATAATATTTTTTTAAGCACTTCAAAAAATGTGTTCTTAAAAATGTTTTTTGTAGCAGTGTTGTTATTAACAAGCAATTCCACAATTTAAAAAGCAACCAAATTATAAAATTGATCGTTAGAATTCAAGATCATAGGCCCTTTTTATGCCCCACATATTATCCCCATTTTATCTTTTATAACGTGAGATTATCAATCATCATGAGTGGAGTCCATTAATGGACCCTTTGTCGGTCAAATTTAATTTATTCAACGGTTCTCATCCTTATTCCTCCTTAATGGATCTACATGTGTGGGAGCAACCATGTAATTAATTCACTTTTTTATTGTCCACTCCTTATGTTATTTTTTTTGATTTTATTAATTAAACGGTACTTTCTAATCATTAGAATATGCAGATATTCAAGCATTGGGATCTCAGACAACTCATCATACTATAATTTTTTTTTTGGCACAACCATCATATACTATTCATCTTATTTAGAAACCCACAACACAAGAGGGCTAACAATATTAATGAAAAATTTTTCTTCCAAAAAAATGAAATAATTTTTTAAGAAAATACAAACTAAAAACAATAAAGATATGCGCCCTTAGATAAAAGTTATAATTAATATTATTACTTTATTTTGAGCAGAAATGTTAATACTACTAATGTAAAATTTAACACACACACACACGTATGTATAGAGGGTCAATGAAAATCTCATGAATATTGTGGCTTCTCTAACGTACGAAAGTATTACTATGTTTTCTTTCTTCACTCATCATCATCATCATCAAAGATTATTATACGTCACATGGGAAAACTTTTTAATTAAATATGGAAAAAGAAGAGAAAATCAGTACGTGATCCTGAAAATGTAATTAATACAGCCTATGTCCTATGATATGTGATCGCGTAATCAGATCTAAGCTCAGAAATATAATCTTTTTTAATTGTTTTTTATATTAAAACCTTCATAAATCACCCAGAAAGGATCAATGATCACATAAATCTTCAAGCCAGCTGTTTTTCCCTAATTGAAGCTCATAATTAGTGTCTTTTGTCAAAAATGTGTGTTCTTTTCCACACAAGCTCGTGTAGAAATAATTCTTTTGCGGGACCTCCTTTCTTTCTTTCATTTTTTTTTATATAACTATATGATACTTATATCAGGTTAAATTTATTTAGTATTATTGAGTCCAATTAAAAGCAATTCTTTCAATATGATTTTTTTATAAGTATAAGAAATAAACTCTGTTAATAATAGGATTGGGTCTCTTCAACTCAACCGAATCATTGTTAGAGAAAAGTTAAAAAGTATTGCCTTACGCTTGATTTGAATGGAAAGATAGCTGGGAGAAAAATATACAGAAGATCATGTTAAGAGAGAAAAAATAAAAAAATTTATATAATTAAGGGTTAAAGTTTCAATTTGATCACACAAACAAAACTAATTGCAAATTGTATATAATTAATTAAAAAAATCCCTGTAGTTTTTGCCAGTAATGAGTGAGGGAGCAAGAAATGAATTAATTGGGCCAACTGTAATGATCAGTTTTGGTAGGACTTGGTCCCTCTTTGAAGTATTTGTAGATTTTCCTCATTTTACATGAAATATGACATCCAAGACTTAATATATGGAGAATATTGTCGAGAGATTGTCTGAAGATTCAATTTTTATTTTCCTAAAAACAACATAAAATCCAATAAAATTTTTTCAAACGCTGCACATTGCACATCATGTTTTTTTTTTTTTAAAAAAATAGAACAGCTATGGCATGAAACCATGCATACGAATAAACTATTAACTACTGCATATACCAGTGAACAACAAATTAATGCAACTAAGGTGAGAAGCATGCAGTGTTAAATTTATGAAAATGAATGTTTAAGCATTATTTATAAAGACACTTTTTTTATGATATTTTTATATTATTTTTATTTCATAGTATAAAAATGTATAAGAATTATTTATAAAGACATTTTTTGTTGAAAATGTTAAAATCTTAATTATTTTTCAATATAATTATTGTTATTAATTTTTGAAGGCTTAAATATTCAGATAAAATAATATATTGTTAAATTTTAAGAAAATGATCACCATAATTTTTAAAATATAGTTTTTCATTTATTTCAATTGCCATTAATATTGTGACTGATCATGATCATCTAGTCGGAATATATCAAGGGGTAAATTTGACATTACACCATGACAGAGTTGGGAATAAAGTCTGTGACTAAGCTATATATGAATTGGATAAGTCTGAAGCTTAACTTCTATGTCTATAAGTCAAGAATGAGACATGAGCTAAACTAATACAGAGTTTAAGTTTTTTAATTTTTTTTTCTGCCGTCCCAAGTAAAAATTTTATTAATAGCAAAAAAGGCTTCCTACCAAAAAAAAAATGCTGACAAAACGAGAAGAATGGAATATGAGCTAAACTAATATATAATTTAAGCCTAGTAAATTTTAAAATTTTATTTAGTTGCTGTGATGAAACTAAAAAGTCACCTCTTCTCTTTTCTCTATTTTAATTGAAATATTTTTATATAAAATTAGGAGAAAATATAAGATCTAGCTAATCTGAATACCTTGCTTTTGGGGGGGGGGGTGTGGGGAATAAAGGACAGTGGTCAGGTTGCATTAAAGGCCCAAGTCATCCAAATTCATCAAACTTGTTCTCATGCCTCACTTTGGGCCTTACTAACCATAGCTGGTTCCCCATTGCACTCAAGTCTACAGTTCGTAACGTGTTCGTTTTTGTTAGGATGGTTCAGTTGATAATAATTTGATCTAGGGCTAAGCATTGGTAGTTTGATATCAAAATATGTAAAATCAATTAACCGAACAATACTAAAAATATGAATTAAATCAAATTGAACAAAGATTGAACCAAAATTTGATAATTTAGTTTAGTTGATTAATTTGATTTTAAACTTCATGTTGGACTACTTAAACTTGAGCCAATTATATTACTTTTTTATTAAAATAGATAAGGCATATATATAAAATTGAATTGGTAAGATGATAGTAGCCCATATATATTTACTTTTATTTAAGTATAAAATTAAAAACAATAAAATAAACTAAAGTAATTAATAAACTAAATATAATTTAGAAATTAATAAATTATATATATGATAATTTGATTGGTCCACTCTATTCAATTTGAGTTTTACTAATTGAATCGAATTGATCAATCAAAATTTTTTTTAAAAAAAACCAACTTGATTGAAAACCCAAGTAGATTGATCAAATTTGATTTGATTTTTAGTTTCGGTTCAGTTTTGCTCACTCTTACCTATAACTCACAAGATTGTGAGATAAAATCCCATTTACAATGTGAGAATTTTATTAGTGAGCAATTTTTAAGCACTTTTTGAGTCTGGAGGTATGTCGTGACTCACTAATTGGATCTTACAATGCTCAAATATATATAGCAGTTAAATAACCGCATGAAAACTAAAAAATACTAAAAGAAATTCTTATTTTTTAAAAGTTTTGCTCATAGTATTTTTTTTTATTCTTATTTTTCTTGTCCATCCAAACATGTGCATGCATGATGAGAAGAACCAGTGCGAAATATATTGCTCAAGTTAATCAGAAGACAAGGTCAGGTGACGGATCGGTGGACGATAAGAAGAACCAGAATTACATCATTCCAAAAACATTTGCATTCAAACTAAATTGAAAATGACATTATTAGAAAGAAATTGAAAGAGTACGTACCGTCAAAGGGACCCATACGTCAATCGTGATATGAATCAAGTCATACAAAGAGCATTTGCAACCGAATCACTCGCAACATGGAACAAAACATTCAAAAGCAAATAAACCAAGGATGGCTAGAGCCAGAGGGAGAAGATGACTATGCTTGTATGTACGCGCACGTGAAGACCAATTAAATGGCTCCTTCTTTTTCTTCAATGGCTCTCTCATCTTGTTTCTTCGTCTCCATCAATCCATCTCTCTCTCCTTCTCACTTCATCCCTTTTCCTTTTTCCTCTCTTCTTTTCCCTCCTTGGTTCACTCTATCGGTCTCTCTCTCTCTCTCTCTGTGACACAATCGAACAGTTGACGGACATGAAATTAAAGCACAGAAAGAGAATACTAAATCACAACTCTACATTTCGTTGTCTCTGACATATATCTCACTGCACCAGTTTATATGATTGCAGAGAAATGGTTGAAATTAACGCATCCTCATATAATTGCTCTTTAACTCATTGCCTCATTTATTTATGGTCAAGCATGGATCTTCCTGCGTTATGATAAAATCCTATAGCTGCAATGAAGTATTAAGAGGATTTGGAACTCTCATAGAATTTAGATTCACATTCTAGACGATCTCTGGAGGCAATCCTTCGGTTTTCAACCTTGCAGAATTGTCGCCAACTAAGGAAGGTAATTGGGGTTTCTCTTTTGTGGGGAAACACTATCTGCTCTTGCATTTCACTCCTCTTTCTGTTGTGGCCGTTTTTGTTTAGTTGTTGCACTTTATGGCTAAATTTAATTTGTCCCCTTTTTTCATTCTCTCCTTTAATGTTTCTCAATTTTTTATATCAAATATAGCTTTATAAACATAATTTGTCCCATACATTTCATGCGTACTATGTCAACCTACATCCTATAATAATTTGATGGAAATTATAATGAACTTACTCAGCTGTATGTGATCGAAGAGGAATATATATTTGTGTGTGTGTGCGTGCTTGGAGAGATATCTGTTGAGGAAGGCAATAGACATGATGAATTAAACAATCATTTATGATAGGGTTGGTGCTACTTAACTCCTTCCTAAACATGATTCATTCTTTTGGGATCAACATTAAACTAATCATTAGAAACTCACTACTTAAGCTTCACACTACAACACACACAAACTCGCTTGAGCTTCCAACTAATAAACACTCACAAATTTGCTCTTATATGACTTCACATTTGTCAACATACTAGCATACCATATATATATATATATATAGACCTTGTGTCTTTGGTTTAATGGAAAGGGATCAAGAACAAGATAATAAGGGGATGACTCAAACTAGGCCAAGCATTGATGTCCCAAAAGCTGTTTCCCCAGTTTCTTTCGCAGCTGATCAGGAAGAAACTGTCGGCCGGCGACCTCGTGGTAGGCCGGCCGGCTCCAAGAACAAGCCGAAACCACCCATTATCGTCACTAGGGACAGTGCTAATGCACTTAAGGCTCATGCACTGGAAGTCACATCTGGGTGTGATATCAATGAAAGTTTGCTCAGCTTTGCAAGAAGGAAGCAGAGGGGGATTTGCATTCTCAGTGGAACTGGCTGTGTCACTAATGTAACTCTACGCCAGCTTGCTTCTTCTGGGGCAACAGTGACACTCCATGGTCGGTTTGAGATTCTCTCCTTGCTTGGGTCGATCCTGCCGCCGCCTGCGCCACCGGGGATCACCGGGCTGACGATCTACCTTGCCGGAGCTCAAGGGCAGGTTGTGGGTGGTGCTGTGGTGGGGGCTCTGGTTGCTTCAGGACCAGTGGTGATCATGGCTGCTTCGTTCATGAATGCTACTTTTGATCGTCTGCCATTAATGGAGGACGACGAGATTGCCCAGAATCAGCAGCATTACCAGAATGGTCGAAGCCACCACCACCACCACCACCATCTTGATGCCTCAGATTTGTATGGAATACCTCAGAACTTGCTCACCAATGGTGCAATCCCTCCTGAGATATATTCATGGGCTCCTGGGCGTAATAACTTCTCAAAAGCCTGAAACTTTAGGCCTAATATTTCTCACTAGTTCTCGCACTCACACACACACACACACACTATATATATATATATATATATATATGCACACACAAATATGTACACCTAAGATTGAGGTCTCTATGTACTGTTAAAGTGCCATACATGAGATGTATTTTCTGGATTTCTGATGTACTATTTATTTGATCAAATTATATATAATGAGAACTCGGTTGATTGTTAGTGTTTGGTGTACATGTGCGTGAATTTTTATAATTTTTTGTTTTTAAGTTCTTCCAATGTTAATGTAAAATATTTATCTTTAAAAGTGTACAGGACAAAATCAAGTATAAGAAGAACTGTTTTAAAGTCATACATTTGTGTAACAATGAGGAAAATTGGGAGAGGTACCGTATGGCTAAGAAGGAAACTAAGAGAGCTGTGGGTGAAGCTCGTTCCAAAGCTTTTGAAGAATTTTATAAGAACCTTGAGACGAAGGAAGGAGAGCAAAATATTTATAAGATTGCCAAGAGTAGGGAAAGAAAATCAAGAGATCTAGAACAGGTAAGGTGTATTAAGGATGAAGAGGGAAGAATTTTAGTTACAGATGATGAAATTAAAAATAGATGGGAGACTTATTTTTCTAAACTTTTCAATGATGGAGAGGATTCATCTAGTAACTTGGAGGATTTAGTAACTGGTGAAGGAGAACAAAATTTGTCATTCTATCAAAAAATACGTGATAAGGAGGTAAAGGAAGCTCTTAAGAAAATGGCAAATGGTAGAGCTAACGGACCTGATTGTATATCTATCGAAGCGTGGAAATGTTTAGGTGAAGAAGGGGTGAGATGGTTAACTAAGTTATTTAATGTGATTTTACGGTCCAAGAAAATCCTGATGAGTGGAGGAGAAGTACATTAATTCCTATTTATAAAAACAAAGGAGATATTAGAATTGTACTAATTATAGAGGAATTAAACTCATGAGCCACACAATGAAATTGTGGGAGAAAGTAATTGAGCACAGGTTGAGATTGGAGACAAGTATTTCTGAGAATCAATTTGATTTTATGTCAGGTAGATCAACTACAGAGGCGATTTATCTACTAAGGGGATTAATGGAAAAGTATCATTGTAAAGATAAAGATCTACACATGGTTTTTATTGATTTGGAAAAAGCTTATGATCGTATACCAAGAGAAGTGCTTTGGAAAGCGTTGGAAAAAAAGGGAGTACGAATTGCTTATATTAAAGCCATACAAGATATGTATGAGGGGGTAAAAACTAGTATAAGAACGCCTAGTGGTCAAACAAAGGATTTTCCTATAAAGATTGGACTACATCAGGGATCATCTCTGAGTCCTTATTTGTTCCACTTGATTTTAAATGTTTTGACGGAACATATTCAAGAGGAAATCCCGAAATGTATGCTCTTCGCGGATGATATAGTTCTTATAGCAGAGACAAGAGAAGAGGTTAATTGCAAACTTGAGTTATGGAGGAGGACATTGGAGTCGAAAGGTTTTCGTCTGAGTAGAAGTAAGACGGAATATTTATATTGTAAATTTGGTAAAGGACTATTCGAAAATAATTTGGAAGTGAAATTGAGAGATCAAATTATACCTCAAGTGGAAAAGTTTAGATATTTGGGAGCCATTATTCAAAATGATGGTGAAATCAGTGGAGATATTTCACATAGAATTCAAGCTGGGTGGTTTAATTGGAGAAAAGCTAAAGGAGTTATTTGTGACCGTAGGGTGCCTAATAAACTTAAAGGAAAGTTTTATCGTACTGCTATCAGACCGGCAATGTTATATAGTAGTGAATGCTGGGCTCTAACGGGACAACAAGAGCATAAAGTTGGAGTAGCAGAGATGAGAATGTTACGATGGATGTGCGGACATACACGTAAAGATAAAATTCAAAATGAGCACATACGTGAAAAAGTGAGGGTGGCACCTATTGAGGAAAAAATGGTAGAAAATCGGTTGAGATGGTTTGGGCATGTACAAAGAAGACCAAGGGAGGCACCAGTGAGAAGAGTGGAACATATAACTTTGAGTCCGATTAAGAGAGGTAGAGGAAGGCCTAAGAGAACACTCTTGGAAGTTGTTGAACGTGATCTCTTAATTAATAATATTTCTAAAAGCTTAATAAATGATAGAGCACAATGGCGTCTTGCAATTCATGTAGCCGACCCCACCTAGTGGGATAAAGGCTTGTTGTTGTTGTTGTTGTTGTATTTATCTTTAAAAGTGAAAAAACCAGTAGAATAATGACACTTATCAACACCCTAAGTCACTTCTGATGCCGATAACTTTCATGATATCCTCTCTGGTTTCAGTTCTTCTGCTCTCAGATCTCCATGGCAACTAAGAAGCCTTTATCAGATGGTAGAAAGTGTATAGGACAATGAATGTTGTGTACTGTTTTAATTTGTCTGTTTGAGTCTAGGCGTTCTATGTGTTTGCTTATTGCTTTTGATTAATTATAGCACTACTACAAAAAAGCTTTTCTACTACCCTAATTCACGTCCCATTTTAAAAATGAAATTTAAAAAAAAAACAAATCAACGTCACACAAATAAGAGAAGGAAGTAAATTCAAGAATCTATGTCTCTCATAAACTAGGTGAAGTAGATTCTTTAAAATCCACGTCCCCCAATTGGGAAGGGGACATGGATTCTAAACAATCCACGTCCCCCTCCCTCCTAGGGGATCCACATCCCCCAACTGAGAGGGGGACGTGGATTCTTAAATCCACTTCCCCTTCTCCCCTGGGGGATGTGGATTCTCAAATTCACGTCCCCTTCTAAGAGGGGGATGTATAATATGTTAAAATTTTGAACTCCGTGCATACTCATTTTTTCATTTTTCAAAACTAGTGTGTCAGCTCCCTATGCTCTATCTTTGCCTCCCTCATAGCTCCCTCTCTTGTCTCAGCTCTCTCATTACTTTTCTCTGTCTCCGTCTCAGCTCCCTCCCTCATAGTTCCCTCTCTCATCTCAGCTTTCTCATTTCTTTTCTCTGTCTCTCTTTTCTTAGCTCCCTCCCTCACTCTCTCTCTCTCAGCTCTCCCTATCTCTGTCTCTCATCTCTTAGCTCTCCCTGTCTCTTATCTCTCAGCTCCCTCCCTCGCTCTCTATCTCTTATCTCCCAGCTTCCTCATTGCCTCTGTCTCTCTCAGCAGCTCTATGGACGAAGAAGCTCAACCACTCACGACTAAGGACCTCTTCTCTTCTCTCCAGGTATTTTTTTCCTTGTTTTTTTATTTTCTTGAATAGGTCTCCACGCAAGAATGTGATTTTTGTTTTGACCTAAAAATGTGATCAATTAATTTTAGTTTTACATGATGTATATGATATTATGATGCTTAAATTTTTTTTAGCCCATGAAAGTATGTACTTATTATTTTAGATAATTTTATAATTATATAATTATAGATGCAATCGTTTTATTTTTCCATTGCATTTGGTGTATTTTGTTGTGATAGTGTATAAATGGTTGTAAATAAATTGCTATTTATTAGACTTTCATTGTATGAATTGGCTGTTTTTATGACATATTTTGACAAATTCTATTTTAGTTGTATAATAAATGCAAATTATATATAAAAAAATTTTAAAAACCACGTCCCCTTATAGGTAGAAAGGGACGTGGTTTGTGAATCCAGATGAGAAACCACGTCCCCCTATACCATAGGGGACGTGGATTCTTAAGAAACCACGTCCCCCTATATCAAGAGGGATGTGGTTTCTCAATCTATGAACTAGGCAATGAGAAATCACGTCTCTCTTACTAGAGGGGGACGTGGTTTCTTTATAAACCATGTCCACCACCTATAAGAGGGGACGTGAATTTTGTAGGAACCACCTCACCTATTATTAAAATGGACATGGTTTATGATATTCCATGTCATAGTCATTTGTGACGTGGATAAGCCATTATTCTAAGTCATCCAGTATAATGTCCCCTTCAATTGTGATGTGAAAATGCTTAAAAATGTGACGTGAAAAGTCTATTTTGTAGTAGTGTAAGTTGTGTATGTTAGGCGTTTTGCTTTCTTTGAGTCTACTGTCAATGAGTGTAATAACTTTTTTGAATATTACAGGAAGAAGGAAGAATTACATCTAAGCACCATTCAAGCACATTATTATCAACAAGGACTAACAAATCCTATTTGAAAAAAAACAAGTCACGTTCTCATTTTAACAATAATTCATTTTATATTAATACTTGTTTGTAAATAATATTTTTGGGTGACCTTTGGATTGGATGTGATTCCTCCAAAAAAAAAAAGTGGTAATCATAATAATTTTGCATAAAACCTTAGGGCAGACATAAATAATTTGATTTCATCAAATCTTTTAAAATATAATGCATTTAGTAAAAGAAAATATAATTTGCCCTGGGTAGAGGGAATGTAATTATGATATATAGACCTCACATTTAATTAGATATTTTAATATCACGAATGGATTAAGTTCAGTCATTCAATAAGTGCCTTTTGTAGCACAATAATAATTGTTCAATTTTTAATCGAGCAATTATAAGAAATTTTATTATATAATATTTAAAAAATATCAAATATCAAATTTTTGGTGGAGACAATATATGCAAAAAGTGCCTTAATTGTGAGAATTGTTTTAATTTTTTTTAAAAATATATCTTAATAATTTTTAAATATTGATGAAATCTAATAGTTATAATTGAGACTTTAGTTAATAAATAAACTTAAGCTACTTGCTTCAAGGAATTCCAATCCCATTCAATCTTACATTGTCATGAGGCATATTATAGTTTTTATTATTTTTTTAATCAACCAAATAATTTTTTATTTCTTAAATGGAAATTCTTCAAAATAAATTGAAGTTTATTTTGGATGCAGGAAAAAAGTAATAAAGGTAATAACTTCATCAACTTCATATAATCAAGTTGTTAATTAGTCTCCTCCCTTTTTTGGGTAAAACGGCAAATGCAATTCCTAGATCAACATCTATTTTTTAAATATTAATGCGAATTTAACCTTCACAAAACGCATTTGGCGTCTGATTGTCAAGCTCATGAATTTAGATAAACTCTTGTGTTGAGTTTATTTTTACTTATAAGCTAGTATTTCGATATATTACTATATAGTTAATATGTATGTGGGTCTAATAACAAAACATGATATATATATATATATATATATATATTTTGTGTGTGTATGTCTACGTATCTACAGGCACCCAAGTATTTCTATTTATATATTAAGCATAATAAAAATTATTTAAATTACTAAAAATTTAAAAAGTTAAGCATGACCAATTATATACAATAAAAAAATGTCAACAAAAATTTAATAAAATTTCCACGTAAATAATGTGAAACAATTTATTTAATATATTTGATTTATCTTTAGCTGACCACAAAATTATACATACTTATTTTATTTTTATTTTACATATTTTCATTTTATATTAAAAAGTCTAAACACCTATAAATATACTTTTTTAAATTTTTAATGATATTACAAAGTTTCTTAATTTTGTAATTTTATTTTCCTAAATAAACATATTCAATCGAACTTACTTATTTAGTAATTTTTTAAGTATATATATCTTGATTAATCTTTTTTTAAATACCTACAATACAAAAAGAAAACTTGATGAATTAAGTATTTAATATAATGAGCAATAAATTGGTCAATATAATTTAGGCAAATATAATTTCTAATTAATAAATACTATATTTTAATATTTTTAGTAATATTCTTAGATGTACTGTGAAAGTATAAGTTTTTTAAAATATAGAGGACATATGTGTAATTAAAGCAAAATATGGATGTCATAAAACACATTGGATTCAAAAGCCATAAGATTGCATGCAAAAAGAAAGAGAGGGGAAATATATGTGAAGAATGTTAGTAGTTGCATGCAAAATATGTGGAAGCAATAGGAATATATAGACATATCATCAAATGATTAATTAAGAGTTCACCGAACCACTAAATGAGAATCTCATGAATTCACCTTCTAACAACCTCACTAACACAGCCTACCATGCCCATCTCCCAAGTTGTGTCTCCACATTTTGTATGTAAAATTAAACATTAATAACATATCTAGTCATGCTATTGTCATATGACTAACTTAACTTGCCATCATCTAAGTGTGACTTGGGGCTCAAGATCTTTTGTCCTCAAGCATATTTGAACATATTGATAAACAAGAAGTAGACCCCACTTATATGAGCATTTATCTTTTATGAGCAATTATATTCTGTATTCATATTTTATAGAAAATTTAAAACAAGTTATAATGTTCATGACTTATGAATAAGGGTTAAATGATAATTTTACTCTTAAACTATAGATTTATGAACAATCTTAAACTTTTTTTAATGTAATATTTCCTTTCAAATTTTAAAACAGTGTAATATAAATCTTACTATTAATAAATAGTAATTTTGATAGTTAGTTGATAAAAAAATAACAGCAAAAGACATAAAAAATTAAAGAAAGAGAATCCTATAAGAAAATTAATGCTGATAAAATTCCTTAAATCAAGGAAAAGCGAAATATATTATAAATTTAGTTACAATAAATACCAAGAGACAAATGCTATTTTTTTTTCAGGTAAAAGACTATAATACACATTTTAACTAGTCACTTTGATTTGCTATAAGATGATAATAGGGTCAACTAACGACAAAGGACTAAAAAAGGTTATTTTCTTCCTATGCGATCCCTCGCTCTTGATTAGCGAGCATATTCTGCCATTTTTTTTAATGATTTTTCCTGTAAGCGTTTTTAAATTTTGTTTAGCTAACTATCAAAGTTAATTGTTATTAACAATACAAGTAACATTGCATTGTTTTAAAATGTTGATGGGAATGACATTGCACTAAAAAAATTAATTAGAATCTCAGATATTATTGTATCTATAGTTTAATGGAAAAATTGACTTTTAACCCTATTAATATAATGAGATCCCTTGTTTTTATAGTATATAAACATATAGATTATATCATGGATCAGGTATATATTTGCACGAAATTCAGAATAAACCACATCAATCATTGACAATTTGTGAAGACATGTTGGCCACCATTATGAAAATTTATGAAGTATAAAAAGTTAACCGACATTACATCCACAAGAACGGTGGAAAATTACATTTTTCTTGAAGTCAAAGTGATATGCATCAATCAAGGGAGATTCATGCATATATACACCGAACATGTCTCAAATCTCAAATCTTTCATACCGTATTGTATACCGTCAGGGAATGAAAAAGTTGAGAATTCGTAAATTTTATTGGGCTTGCTTTTTCAATGAAGGAAAAAAAATAATATTCACACAAATTTATGAATATTAATTTCAAAATGTTTAAATACATGCAGCAAAAGGTACAGAATTACAGCCATAATATTAGTTATATTTTTCACTCTTTTTTCAATTTTTAGTTATAATAAGTCTGCTCCTTTTTCAAGTACGAAGAATCCAAATTCACAAATTATAATTTGAAAAAAGAAAATCTTCCAAAACAAGCTTGAGTTATATGGGTTACCTAATTGCTAACCCAAGTCTAAAGTTTGAAGTTCCCGCATTCGACATTTCAGGTTTACTTTCTCTGAATCTTATTATAAAGTACCTCTAATGATCTTACCAAAATAAATAAGATGTGTGATTAAATCATTAATTTTGCCTGAAAAAAAATTCAATTTTATCTCTGTTTAAATGAAAATTTTTTAATTTATATTATATTCTCTCTCATATTTAATGAATTTAAATAGGGATAAATGAATAACATTAAAAATGTAATTAATATCTCGTCAATTATCTTATACTATTAAGAACCATTAATTTCTTTTAGAAAATATCATATAATAATGACCAGACGGAATATTCTTCTGTTAAAAATAATCTTCTTCAAACCATGATTGTGCACCAAATGCAGACTTCTTCTAATGGGGTTTGAATATTAATTTATCACGTTGTAAGCAATTAACCTCTTCCACAATACCTAACTCTAATGGTGGATGGAGTATTTGTTTGATGCAGATTAATTAACTAAATAAAACTAAAATTGTCAATTAGTTGTATATCCTCACCACTCAGTAATTGGTTCACTTTTGTGTGGCATGTTATAATAAATAATTTTGTTATACTCTACGTTAAATCACTGGTACTAACAATTAAAAATAAATTAATACTAGTAATAGAATATGACATGGATCAAAACGCAATTTACTGAGAATGAATTTGAAATTGGTTCAGGGTCAATAGTCTTGGCCTCTTGGGAACAAACACCAATTAATCACAACGACAAAGCAATTTGACTTGGGACAAATATGAGAAACGAGGATTTAAAAGTCAATGAATCGTTTGTGTGGGTGATCTAACTTGTGATTGGTTCATTTATCCATACAAATATATATTTGCTGGAGAAAATAGAAAAGGGGAACGACGAAAAATTCAAAAGAGTTACGCTTTCCAAAGCGGTGAAGCAACAAATAACTATACTGTGCGTGTGGATGTTGAATCCAGTTTTCAAAAAATAAACTGAGACTCTCAATGACGGTCACCAACGTATCAACCTACCAACGGTTATGTGTCAAATTGTCAATGGTCAACAAACAGTGATTTTTATTAAAACTAACAAAACTTTGGAAAAGGGCCAAAAAAAAAAAGGGGTCTGACGTGGGATTACATAAATATTTGAAGATAAAAAATTGCACTTAATAACTACCCAGATGTTAGTAAAACATTTTTATTAAAAGAACTAAAAATTTTCAAAATTTCACCAATTATTTTAAAAATTATTTTTATTATTTAAGATCAAAATTATTACAAGACTTCCATAAGATTTACTCCCTCTTGTCCAAATTTGAAGACATTTTTTTCTAACAAAGCTTGGTCGAAAATATATGATATTACTTGGTATTTTTAAAAAATATTTTTCTAATTTTACATTTGTACTTATTATTAATGTGAGTTTCTTGTGTAAACTTTCTCACTCTTTAGAATCTCTTTTTAACTCAACTTATTAGTTAGTAGTTGGGGTTAAGGGCAAAATAAATAAATAAAATTGGAAGTGCCTTGCAATTTGGAGGGGAAAGAGTATTAAACATTAGCATTGTGTTATTTTTAAAAACAAAATTCTGTATTTTGATTATCGAAAATAGTTATGTACTACTACTAATGCTAATTTTAAAGTCTGATAACCTAAATATGTTAAAGATATGGATCGTTAGGTGTAAATTTCCATTGAAGATTAATAAAACAATAATGGGAGATGGAGAACATTTGTTCATTATTAGATTTTCTTGCAAAATCTCAAAGAAAGTACTACTCGGCTTCTTGAGAGTAGAGAGTTAAACCATTTCATAAAATTACCCTGACACTGGCGTAATAATCAGATGGTACATCACAACCACACGCCAATCCTGCTTGAAAAGTTAAAAGCAATAAGATAGTAGCAAAATGTGGAAGGAGACTTGCATGAATGAATGGAAAATAGGGACAGAGTCAGCAAGGAGCAGAACCTCAAAGAGGTGAAATATGGAGTAAACTTGCATGACTGAAAGAAAATTATTGAGACACTGTCACACAGAAGCAAAATGGCTAAACAAAAACTGAAAGGAAAAAAAAAAACAAAATGAAATGTGAAAGGTGAAGTTAATGAATGCCACCTGTGTGGTTAACCAAATGCCAGTCAACCTTCTCTTCCTGCACCCTTTTAATGACTCTTATAAATATTCTCTGCAACCTCTTTCGTTTCCCCACAAATACCCATTTACTCTCTTCACCCTCTCAATATAGCCTTGCAAGTACTTTCATCACCATCATTACTGAGGGGAAAATTTTTCAAAATTGAAGTAGTCACCATGGTGCTCTTAATGGTTCTTCTCAGGCTTCTAGCTTCCTCATGTCATAGAGCAGCAAGAAGAATGAGCTCTTATGGCTTTTACTTGGAAATATTGTGTCAGTCAAGCCATCACATCCTTCTTCTCCATCTTTCCCTAGTATTACCAAATGTAGTTTGGAGGGTAGGAAGTCACAGACACTAGCCTGTGACATTCACAGAGTTCTCTTGAGATCCCACTCTTTCTTCCCCTTCTTCATGCTTGTTGCCTTTGAAGGTGGAAGCATTTTCAGAGCCCTTTTTCTGCTTCTGTCATGTCCTGTACTATGGATTCTGGACTATGAACTCAGGCTAAGAGTCATGATCTTTATAACCTTCCGTGGGTTGAAGTTGAAGGATATGGAAAACACTTCAAGGGCCGTTTTACCCAAGTTTTATCTGGAGAATCTGAACCTGGAGGCCTGTGAGGTGTTGGGTTCAGTGGGGTTTAGGGTTGTGTTCACCAGTCTGCCTAGAGTCATGGTTGAAGGGTTTCTGAAGGAGTATTTGAGTGTTGACGAGGTTATAGGAACAGAGTTGCAGAATTTCGGAGGCTACTTCACTGGTTTGGTTTCTGGGCCTGGTTTGCTCGTGAAGCATGGAGCTCTCAAGCAGTACTTCGGAGATAGAAAGCCTGACATTGGACTTGGAAGCAGTCACAGTGTTCATGATCATCTCTTAATCTCTCATTGCAAGGTAAGAACTTAAAGACTCTTCAAGAGGCTAGATTATTAACGGCTTTTCTTTTTCTTGTTTTTAAGCTCTACAAAATGATAGTGCTCTCTAGAGAAAAGCATGAAAATGACAATGGAGGATGAAGGAGACCAAAGCTTTAAATGTGATTCTGTTTTACTGTTTTCTTTTATGTTTTACATTTTTCTGTTCATTTTCCCCACCACCACAACTGATAACCTGGGAACCATCACAAGTGAGTAAAAGAGGAAGAAAAAGAAACTCAAGATCACTCAGACAAAAACATAAAGAGAAACCAATCACAATTATAAAAGCCTGAGATCACCCTATCCTACCTAGACACTTTGTAAATATGAATCCACCTTCCTGAGATGTTAAATTTTGCAGGTACAAATTACAATAATGTTGTATCTGTCCACATGTACTGTATTTAATGCGTTTAAATTACATGACAGGAGGCTTATGTGGTGAAGAAAAATGAAGGTTCAATAATGCCAAGGGAAAAATACCCAAAGCCTCTGATTTTCCATGATGGTAGGCTAGCATTTCTGCCAACCCCATCAGCAACACTCTTCATGTTCATGTGGCTTCCAATTGGAATTCTCTTAGCTATTTACAGATTCTTCTGGGTATCATCGTACCCTACAAACTAACCCTAGTTCTTGGCAGTTTCAGTGGTGTTCGCTTCAATTTCAAGGTCCATGATAACCACAAAAAGTCCCGCAAATCCAATGGGGTCCTATATGTGTGTACTCACAGGACCCTCTTAGATCCTGTGTTTCTCAGCACATGTCTGGGCAAGCCATTAACAGCAGTTACATACAGTTTAAGCAGAGTCTCTGAGATTATAGCTCCAATAAGAACAGTGAGACTTACTAGGGACAGAAAGAAAGATGGGGAAGCCATGGAAATTCTTCTGAAAGAAGGTGACTTGGTGGTGTGCCCTGAAGGAACAACTTGCAGGGAGCCATATCTGTTGAGATTTAGCTCATTGTTTGCTGAATTGACTGATGAGATTGTTCCTGTGGCCATTAATGCAAAAGTGAGTATGTTCTATGGGACCACTGCTAGTGGGCTTAAGTGTTTGGACCCAATTTTCTTTTTGATGAATCCAAGGCCAAGTTATTACATTGAGATTCTTGAGAAAGTGCCCAGAAATCTCACATGTAGTGGTGGAAAGTCCAGCTTTGAAGTGGCTAATTATACACAGAGGAGGCTGGGAGATGCTTTGGGATTTGAGTGTACAAATCTTACAAGGAAGGATAAGTATTTGATGCTTGCAGGGAATGAGGGTATCGTTCAACAAGATATGAGGAAAAAGTGATGAAGAAAAGGTTTTTCCTTTTTGGGGCTATAAAAATATATTTGTTACTTTTTTACTTCAAGTGTTCAGATGTTCAGATCATGATACTTTTAAGTGATATGATAGTTTGAGAGAAATTTAATTATGTCAGCTAGGTTAGCTTAAATGGAATGTTCTACTTGTTTTGGTCATGGAGTGTGTGCCTATGTTCCAATTTTTCTTTGGCTTTCTTAATCCAAATTATCAGATTTTATTTAATTATGAAATTTTATTAGATGTCTATATTTAACAAAAACCTTCAAATGGTAAAGAAATTTAATTTTAAATGAGTATACACATTAACTAGACTATTATAATGGTATGAAGAAGACAATTTTATACGTCTATCTATTTCTTAGCATATGAATATTTTTACTTCTGAAAATTTATTAGTGATAAAGATTTTTGTCAGAATTGGATTGAGAAGACACTAATCATAAGAACCCAAATTACCAAAGCAACTTTAGGAATGGTCAAATTGAAAATATTTTGTTTATGAGAGACTAAAAAAAATGGTAAGTGACTAGCCGAAAAAGAAATAGGCCCACTACTTTAAAACGGACAAATCCAACAACTTTCATTAGGCCCCAGCAACTTCCCCTTCTTGTCAAGCCAACCAAAAGTTTGGATAGGAGATGCAGCATAGAGAAGACAGAGGCTTCATCAAATATTTATTTTATTTATAAAAAAAATATAACTTTAGATTCATATATTTTATTTACATTTTATTATTAATTTTTATTTTTTTTTAATGTATTTAATTTTTATACTTTTGCCTTTTATTATTTTAGGATCAAAAACACCAAAACAAAGTACAGGAATCATTAATAAAATATAAGTAAAATATAGGGATCTAAAATTATATTTTATTTATTTATTGATATAATTCATCAAATATTTAAATGATAAAGGTAGATGGGAAAACTGTCCCATTTTTTAATATTTATTCTTTTGTTCATAATTATAAGGTACTTTATCAACAAAATTAAAGCTGGGTTAGTGAGATGGGATAGCCTCTCACAAGATGACCTAATGTTTAAATCACACAGCATTTTAAAATAAAAATATTTTATAATACAGAATAAAAGGAGTCTTTAATTTATAGATATTGAACATTATCTCCTCTTCTTTTCTTCACCCACCACAAGTCTTGGCTTCCCTACCTTTTTGTGTGTCCATCATTCAACCCCCTCACTATTTTATAATATTTTGCCTCGCCAACTACATATGGCTTAATTAATATTTCAGGACCAATATAATAAATCGAACTAATTAATGAGGGGCATCAAATTGGTGAGGGCCTAGAGCCCATTTTCTTCATATTCTTTATGTGCATAAACATTTAAAAAAGACCTAATACGTTTTAGGACAACTGATTTAATTATATAGTTATATAAAAAACCCTTATACAAATGATTTTACATTTAATTTTTAATATCAAACTAACGTCCACAAGTAAAAATAAATAAATAGAAAACTTTTTTGGACAAAATAATAGCAAACTTACTGTCACTTCCGTCCCTGTTATGAGATGTTTGTTTTTGGAGTGATGGGATATTCCATATCTATAATATATATTATTTTTAGAAAAATAATGATTCATTAATGAAGTTTTATTTCAAAATTATTTCTAATTATTTTATTTTTTAAATATCTCTATCATTATTAGGTGAATGATGTTTTTGTAATTTATTTTTTTAAAAATTAAGATTATAAGCTGTGTTTTAATTGATTTCATTATTCATGTTTAAACCAAAATACTTATCTTATAAAATGTGATGAAGGAAGTGTTATACAACTAAAACAACACGGGTAAGAATCATCAAAATAAGGAAATTTAAACATTAAAAAAATAAAGAAAACTAATATGCGAGGCAAAAATAAAGATGGGCAAAACATCAATTCGAGAGGGTATTTTGTCATGTTTGGTATATAACTGAATGACAAACAAGTCTTCATTTATTAGAAGTGGCCACATTCATGATGTGGCTCCACTTCAATATTCTTAGGTGAGCCGTAGTTCTCTTTCCGGTCCACATTTTTAATGTTGAAAATCAATATGCAAATGCGAGTATTTATTCTCTTCAACATCTAAGACAAATTTGTTGGATCAGTCTAGTATTTATCCCAATTTATAAAATTTTTTTAAAAGAGTTAATTTTTTAAAATATAAGACACTTTAATAAAAATAAAATTTTATTAATAATAATTTTTAATATTATTCTTTCCACTATATTATTTTGCTCTTTAATATTCTTTCAAAAATTGAGTATTAAATGAATAAAATTTTAAAAATTTACATTTTTATTTAAAAAATATATTATAAGGCATATTTAATGAGTTTTTTTATTATTAATATATATATATATATATATATTTATAAATATCTTATAAATTGAGATGAGGAAGTATTGTTTTTTTTGTCTTGATTTTATCCATAGGTCACTTTTAATGTGTTTTATTAAAACTAAGGAAAACTTTAAAACATATTATTTTGTCTAAAAGTTTAATAACTTTTTAATTTTATCCTATTAAATATGTATATTTTTTATTCAAAAAATATAAGTAGTTTAAAACATATTTCCTCCTCTTTCTATTATAATTACTTTCAACTATTTTATTGGAATAAATAAATTGATTACTAACTCATTTAATTTATCTTAATTTTTTTAAAAAAGTTTCAACCTTTGCTCTATTAAATAGCGAAATATAACATTCAAGAAGTCAAATAAAAATACTAAATTAAAATTAAGTTATTCTTTTAATAATATGTAATAAGGATAAAATTGAAAAAAAATATTAACTAATAACTTTCTATCCAAATCGAAATGTTTTTAAAAAAGATACCCTATAATAGAGACTGGAGGGGTACTTTCTCTCATTAACATTTGATGAATAATACAGGAAGAACTTATGATAAAATTTAATGACATGAATAATAAATATGATAAAAAATTTTTCTCTATCTTATAAATAGGATAGCAAAGAGTAATTCATTAATTTTTATATTTTTTTTCAAGCTTTCTAAGTTGTTGTCAAAAAAAGAATTTAATCTTTTGATGTATTTTAACACTTCACTCTTTATATATATGGGCCCCTTAAACAAATTACGTTATTTGTCTAAAGGCCCAAATGGCTTGTGTTTCAATGTGAAAAACTTGCTCTAATAGTTAGGGGAAATTTTGTGTGGCGTCAGGGCAAAAAGTTAACAAGGAGAAGACACAAGTTTTCTTTTCCAATAACATTAACCACACAAGAATGCAACAATAGAGTAGCTGGGCATCCCTTTTACTTTGGATTTGAGAAAATACCTTGGTATTTCCGTGCATCATGGGTATATGACTAGGAACACTTATAATTATGTGGTTGATAGGGTGAAGTCACGGATATGGGGGTGGAAGGCTACTAATATTTCCTTTGCAGGTAGAAGCACGTTAGTTTCCTCAATTTTGTTGTCTATTCTTATGTATCCTATGCAAACTGCTTTACTTCCTGTGTCTATCTGTGAGGATGTGGAAGGAAGTCTCAGGATTTTTTATGGGGTTTAACAACTGAAATGAAGAAGATTCATGCTATTTCTTGGGATAAGGTTTGTAAGGATAAGAAGAGAGGGGGTCTTGGTATTCATAATATGCATACTCAAAATCTAACTTTCTCAATGAAAGCAAGTTGGGGGCTTATTCATAATAGAGAAGCTCTTTGGACCCAAGTTGTGAGGAGTAAATATAAATGTGGAGCTAATTTACTTCCTATAATTGAGTGCAAATGACCGGGCTCACATCTTTGGAGTGGAATTAAAAAAACTTGGGACCTTCTTTAGACCAAAATTGAAAGATGTACAATGCAGGATGGGAAAGAATCACTGAGGTGGAAGCATGAGAAGCATGGTCACTTTTCTATCAACTCTGCTTATTCTTTAGTAAGGGATGAAGAGCCTTCCTCCTTTCCTCTTTGGGCTAAGATTTGGAAGCTTCAAATTTCGCAACGCAGCAAATCTTTTATGTGGATGGTTCTGCATGACCGTCTCTTGACTAATCAAATGAGAGTTAAAAAGCATATGAGTAATGATGCTCTCTGCACGTGGTGTAAGTTTGTTGATGAAGACATTTTGCATGTTTTGAATGACTGCCCGGAGGTTCAGAGCTTGCGAAGAAAGTATGTTAGACCTGAATTTGTTAATCATTTTTTTAATTCCCACCTATGGCATTGGTGTCAACTCAATCTTACAAATGATGTTGGGTCTTTTGAGGTTAAATGGAATTGCTAGTTTGCGACTATCTATTGGCTTTTATGGAAGAGAGGAAATGCAAATGTGTTTTAGAATATTATGGAATCTAATAATTCTATCTCTGGTCATCCGTTGGCAATTCTAAAGTGCCTGAGTCAGTGCCTGAAAGTTCTAAGTAATACTAGTTTAATAAGGAAATTGGGTGAGGATTCTTCTACTATGTTTAGTCGTGACAGCCTAAGACTGTATGTTGATGGAGCTTTTTCGGAACAAATTGATCCTGTAGGCTGTGGGAGAGTTCTTAAGGATCAACATGGGGTTATTGAATGCTTTTATGCTTTAGACTATAGAGCGGTGATGCCCTCATTGCTGAATTGTGGCCTTGCTTAACTGGTTTAAAAAGTGCTTGGCAGAGTGGATGGCGATCCATTGTTCTCCATTATGATTCTGCGACTACCGTGAATCTAATAAGAGGTGGTGACATGGAGCTTCATGAATGCTGAAGTATCATTATGGAGCTTCGTGAATGCTCAGCTAGAGTTGGCTTGTGGATGTACGTCGAATTGATCATGAGGAGAACCAAGAAGCTGACTCTCTTGCGAAAAGATCTCTAGAAAAGGCTCCTGGTATCCATCATTTAGCCCCAAATGTGTCAAACTTTTTAGAGTATCTTCGTCCTCCCTAGTTCTTTTTTCTACTTTTGTCTTTTGCTTGTGTTTTTGCTTTCTTGTTTTCCTTTGTATTTAAAAAAAAAAAAACCTTGCTCGAAAATTTTATGTTTTCAATAAGTTTTATATAAATTTGAATAATATAGCTCATTATTAAACTTAACAGTATCTGAAAAAATTTGTTGTTTTCATTTAAAAATGTTAAAAATCATACTTTAAATCGAATGAAATATTGTATTGTATAACCCACCTGGCATTGGGCTATTTTAGAAGGCAAAGATGAGACAGGGCGAAGGACGGAGTCTTGTGTGAGCTGTGATCTTTGAATAAATAAAGGTCTAGAGCCTCTCTCGATGTTGAAAAGAAACTGAACATCACTCTTGATCTCATATAAAAAAAAAATCTAAATGCAGATTTTTTATTTTTGGGCCAACGATACAAATTTTTTTATGAAATCATAAAATTATTTTGACGTTTCATATCTTTAATAATTAAATTTGTTAATTACTGCTGGACAGTTGTTAATTATTATTGTTGTAGTTGTCAATTGGACAATTATAGAGCAATAATTGACATTTTTTGGTATATACAATTTTAAATAAAAGAGATGACTGTATTCAAAATAAATAAAAACAACATCAAGTGGGATGTAGCAGTAATTTTGCTTTTAAAAATTGTATAATTAGTTTCTATTCAAGTTTTTCCCCCTGAAAAAGTTCGATCGGTTGCAAATACAATCAAGATGCATGACAGCAAATAAAAGGATTTGACAACGTGGCACAAATGGACACCTGGCCTCTTTCACGTTCCATGTAAACAAGCGATGTGTTAGGTTTATTATCAATATTTGACAACCCATGCAACAAGGATTCGAATACAATGAACGGCACAAATTTACTTAATCAATGGTATCTTTAATTAAATAATTATGAAAAATCTTATCATATGATATTTAAAAAACATCAAATTTCAAATTTTTGAAAAAAAAATAATGTACATGAATTAAGGGTGTATTAATTATGAGAGTTATTTAAAAGTTTAGAATAATAAAATATATCTTGTTAAATCCGTACACGTGCATGTGCTTTTCATATTCCATCAGAGCACATGATATCCAACCCAGTGACTAGCCACTAATTGAGTGGTCAAAACCATTTCAAATCAAATTATTAAATTGGCAACGTTTCTACTTTCTAAATTTAGCAAGTAAATAATACATTAGTTGAATCTAAAAAGAAATTAAGGGAAAATACGAAAATGATAAAAAAATTAGATTTCAGACATATCTCATCATCATTTCTTATCACTCTCTTGGTATGGGTTACTTGCTTAGTTAGGGTAGTAAGAAAGAGAAACGGAAAAAAAGTTAGTGTATATTTGATAGGTCAAAAAATGTTTTATATAAAGAAACTGAGAAATATATCTATCTTATTTTCTTTATATATATATATATATATATAAATTTCTCTTTTTCTTCTTAAAAAGCAGTTTTTTATAGAGAATTTTTAGGTAGATCAGAATTGGATGTTAATTATTTGTAATCTATCTAATAAAAATAAATATTTAAATAAGTTAGGGTAAGTAAAAAGAGACACGGAAAAAAAGTTAGTGTATATTTGATAGGTCAAAAAATGTTTTATACAAAGAAAATGAGAAATACATCTATCTTATTTCTTTTATATTATATATATATATATATATTTCTCTTTTCTTCTTAAAAAGCAGTTTTTTTATGAAGAATTTTTAGGTAGCTTAGAATTGGATGTTAAGTTATTTGTAATCTATCTAATAAAAATAAATATTTAAATAAGATTAAATATGAATTACTTTTAACATTAATAATGAGTCATGAAGAAAGGTAAAAAATTAATATCTATATAGCTTATATGTATACAGACACATTCTATTATAAGAAAAAATCAATTAAAAAGAGATCACATAAAATTTAGTTAAATAACTTAAATATTTAATAATAGACTATAAATAATATGACGCACTCAATTTATATAATAATTTCTATTTTCTATATACCAAACATAAGCTTCAACTTCTCAAGAGGTGAAAAAGATAGAAATTTATTTACTTCAATTCCTCTAACCTTAACTGCTTAGGTGCTGATCGCACTTCCTTTACATCCGGGGAAGTAACTTGCAATGCAACATCTAAGCCAAGTAATATTATCTCTTATTTATCTTTCGAATAAAAAAATATTTTTTAAAAATAATTGTAACTTCTAAATATAAAAAGTTAATAAGTAACTTATATATAGCTTCTAAGAAACATACTTTTTTAAGAAGTAACATAATTGAACCGAGCCAGACCTTATTTCAGAAGAGATCATAATGTTACTAGCAGTAATAAATTTGAGCATTTTTTTTTGAAAGGAAAATAAATAATACAAGTTAATATAAATGATATATGTTACCTCGTTTTAATTTTTCTATCACTTAGATATTCCGAAAGTTCAAATCCATCATTTTTTTATCTTTTCAATCAATCTCCCACAAAATTTACCAGATAATGAACACGGGATTTTGGTTAAGGAGCGTATCAAAATACATTGCATCTGGCTGCAGACGATCACCATCTCCCGACCAACATTGTATTATTCTGTGGGGCCCAGAAGTATGGCGAAGACCACACGATCTCTTCGGGGAAATCCCAACGCATTATCTACAACCCGAATGCCACGTGTCTCTCATCCCTTGATTCAGCCGTCGGATGAACCCTTCCTTTTGTGACTCACAAAAGTGCAAGAACTTGCCACGTGCCTTGGGTTCTTATCCATCCACCATCGGCCTCCGTCGTCCTTCGCATTCCGGTGAACCTTCCCAGGCGACGGCGACTTCCTCACCAGAAAATCCGGCCAAATCTGCAACGTACTCCACCACGCCGTCAAGGAGCCTCGCCGGAGCACCAGACTTGCCATCCCATAGCCATACTCGAACCATGGCACGTAAAACAGATGACACGATCTCTTCTTTATGGTTGTCTTCTTCAAGTAATGATGGACTCAGGTCAATGACGTAGGCGTTGACTTTTCTTCCAGCGGAGACTATGGCGGAGGGGCGGTGAGATTTTTGCGAGCAAGGCGGAGGGTAACGTGGGATATGTGCTTCTTGGGGTATTGAAAACGGATCAGGATAAAGGAAGCGTTCGACGAAGGAGCTGGTGTTGAGGGAGTAGTCGGGTGACTCTGTCGTTAGAGACGTAAGAGAGAGCAAAACGGCGGCCAGTTGGGGAATCCCGGCGTCGTTTATTATGGTTATGGAGAAGGTTTTCGAGGCCTCATAGTTAGCCCATAATGCTGTAGTACAACTGAGAAAACGAAAACCAATCTGATGATCACCTTTTGTTACTTGAGAAGATCAGATCTTTGTCACCGAAAGAATTTTTTGTGATGAAACGACGATGAGGAGGCGGCCGACACTGCCGTGGCGGCGGCCTCGGAGAGTGGCAGGAATGGCTGGAGGAGGGGAATTTTGGTCCTCCATGATGGAAACTGGGCCGGTCAAGAAAAAGAGAGATGGTGGGTTTGATAAAAGGTGATCGACATAGTTATGAATTGTAAAGAAATGGGCGTGGTATTTCTGGTGGTTGAGAACGAATGAGATTGCAAATCATAACAGATTTTTTTATTAAAAATATTCATAGCATAAAAGATATAAAAATATTTAAATAAGTGTTCATTTAATTTGTCAATTAATTTGAACCATGGTGTTTTCGTGGTGTCTTTGTTACAGAAAACTTATTAATTTATTGTTAAGAGGAGATTGTTTGATTATTTAAATGTGAGTGGGTCCAATAAATTAGACTTTACTAATGTATAATAAATAATAAGGATTTATAAATTTAAATGTAAAATTTGAATTAAGATCTGCGTATTTTCATTATTTTTGTCCATTTTTCCTTCTTATTCTGGGCCATTGCTCCCTATTTTTAATTAATTTGGTTAATTAAAATAATTATTGTAGATTGATTTGATATTTATTATGACATAATACTGTTTTGTTCCATATGAGCCCTTACATGATGATTAAATAAACACGATACAATTTAGGGTGACAAAGAGGCTCTTGAAGAAATCAATTAATTTAATTTAAGTTTCAAATGTAAACTTTAGAAATATGCAAGTTTGACTTTTATTTTTATAATTTCATTATGATAAATTTATAATTTATTTTAAATTTTAACATAATTGAAGAATAAATAAATTTATTTTTTAATAAAATTAAAAACATAAATTATAAATTTATCACAATGAAATTATAAAATTGAAAAGTGGAGTTTAAATCTTGGAGTTCAGCAAACAACTCTGTATTTTTCCTACAATTTACCCTCTTTCTCTTTCGTTGAGCTATTCTAAAATATTCTTTGTTCCGCTGTGCTTGTTCATCAAAACAAAAGCCTTTTTACTTACACTCTTTTCATTTTTTGGTAACCAAAAAAAAAATACATTAAGCTATAATAGTAGACATCAATTACACGAGAGTCCGAGCTAGTATTATTCATTTTTATGTATATGCGCTAAACAATTTAGATTGATCCATAAAAATTCCGGCCACTTTAGCACTTCAACTTCCTCGGACTTAAAAAAGAATTTGATGCTTCTTGTACGATTTATGGTCGGGTAACGACAAAAATGGGGAAAATAATTTGGAGAGAGAAGCAAAATTGGTAAAAATTATCTGATATCGTGATTCTCAGTTTTCAGAGACAAAAAGTGTTTGACAAAAATTCTACTAAGCACATAATAATCACATGAATTAGTGGAAGCAAATTGGCTTTGATGTTGCTGCTGCTGATGAGGGATATGGGTTCATAGGCACTGGAACTGACCCAAACACATTCGCGCCCATCGAGTTGTTGTGTTCAACACTGACGTGCTTGTACTGCCAATTCAATTTTAACACATTTTTTAAAAACCACAAACTAAAAATAAAGATTAAATAATAAATTTGCCACTAAACTAACATTTAAGATCCTAAACTCATATTTCATATAATGTTTGCCTTAACATTTTAAAACGGTGTAATATATTACCTTGATTGTTAACCCATATTAACTATAACAATTAATTAATCTAAAAAAATTGCAAAAAATCATATAAAAAGACAAAAATTCTTGATTTTTATTTTTTATTAACGTTAAAGGAAATGTTGTATTGTTTTAAAAGTTTAGGATTCCAAATGCTACTTGACTTATAATTTAAATATCTGCCATTGAACCAAAAAAATATGATATACTATGAGTTATTTTTACTAAACTTCTAATTTATTTCATCTTCATTACAAATTTATACCGTCAGATTTAAAATGTACTATAATTTACGTCCTCAAGTATTATTATTGTTGTACGTGTTAGAAATAATTTTTTAAAACATTAAATCGAGGCCGTTCGTTACAAATCCAATGGTCTAGATTTTTAACAAGGGTTGAGTTGAAAGCAATGCAATGAAATTGCTTATACAAATAAGTTAATTGAAAGGAAAAGATTTAAATTAAATTTGTAAAATTTTGCCCAAGAAAATGACTTTTTCATGGCCTGTTCTTCTTAAAGTTACAATAAAATCTTATCAAAAATTATTTTTTTTAAAGAAATTTAAAAATCTGTGGACGTAATAATTAGGGAAAATGAGAGTGCGATTCAGATAAAAGGAGCTAGCTAGCTACATGACTTTTAAATGTTGAAACTAATCTTGAGTTCCGTAAATTAGAGCAGAATTATAAATATTTTTACCATATTAAAAAGATCAACACAAATTAGTTTTACATGATAAAGATTCTCCTTGAAAAAAAAAATGTGACCAGAATTTTTTTTTTTTTAAAATATAAGTGGGTAGAGTAAGGTCACCTCACCTTATGAATGGATATTGGCACGGCCCCCAACCTGGAAAAGAAAAAGAAAGGAAAGAAAAACATATATATTAGTAAATAATAAATTAATAAAAAGTAGAGACCCTATTGACAGACAATATATACAGAGAATAGGCTTCGGAGACTTTTTAACGTGTGGCTTCCAGCAAAAGTTGGAGAGAAAGAAAGAAAGAGAAAATATTAAAAAATAATTAAAAAGAAAAAGACTTTCTGCTGCATGCATATCAATCAAGTGCCACTTTTGTAGGTCCTAAATACCCAAAAAACTTCCAAGGAAATTCAAAGATCCACCAAAAGTTTCTTGTTTTTTTCTATCTGTGCCCATTATCTAATCCACAAGAATTTACATATACTAAAAAAATATATGAAAAACTGCTTACTTGGATTAGTGCTGGTGATAACAGCAACACCACCAAAATTACAGCTATTAGGAACAGGATTCTTCTGGTAATAACTATTGAATGCAAAAGAGGCCTGCTCTCTCACAGAGCCAGGGTTATAGCATCTTCCATTAGGCTGAATCTCAGAGCAATCAGCTCCACCATAGCCACAAGCATAGTCCAATGCCACCTGCAGAGAAATCTGAGAAGCACTAGGGCTAGCAATGCACCAGCTCACACCAGAACTAGAAGAAGATGACGACGACGACGACATAGAAGAGTTGTTGTTGTTGGGTGTGGTTGGTGTACTAATGGTGTTGGATGGGAGTGTTGAAGCTGGGGAAACTGTGTCTGGGTTGGAATTAGGGTTTAGAATTGGGGATGATGATGAAGATGAAGAAGATGATGGTGACGATGAGATTGTGGGGAGGGTAGGAATTAGGTTTTGGGACTGTGGTGATTGGAGTGGTAATGTCTTTTTGTGATGTGGAGATCACATGTGATTCCTTCATTGTCCTCCTGCTTGATCCTGTGGGTTTCATTCCAAAGTGTAATTAAAGCTTTTGGATTGTTTTGTTGTGCCTTTTGGATGCTTATAAACTTAGTCATAAATTTTGTAATCAGAATTTAAAGGAAAACTTAATTACTTGTCGCTATAGTTAAATTTTTCACATACTCACTTTTTAAATTTTAACTCTATTGCAAGTCATTCTCTATAGTTTTATTAATTTAAAACATTAATCTCTAAATTTTAACATGTAACGCTAGTCCTTATCATTTGATTTTCTAAAATACAGAAACTAATATTTTAAATAATTAAATTCATAGGGTTAACTCTGCCAGTCAAAATTCAAGATAAAATAACAACCAAATCATAAGAATTTAAAAATTATAATGAATTAAAATTATAGGTTGAATTTTAATTGAATTTGAAATATAGGAATCAAATAATTAATTTTTTTAAATTTTAAATTATCCTCCTCGTTAAAGGAAAATCAACAAACTATAGGTTACTTGTATTCATGCATTCAAAGAAAGTAATGCCAAAGAATATGATTACATATGACCCACACATTTTTTTTCAAAGTTCTTACCGGGAATGATCAAAATACATTTTAAAATAAAGAATTGACAACATTTCTGAGAATAAACGACACGGACAAAAAAGGATTAGCAGGAATAATAAAATATCGCCATGTTTGGAGCATGCAGGGAATAAAATACTGTTTTTTTTTAATTCTTCCTTCTGAGCAGATTAGAATGACTAAAAGTGTAATTAAACACAAGATTTGCATTCAAAGTTCAAAACTAACAATCAAAGAGAGGTTGTAATATATTATACTCAATGTGAAAGCAGAAGGTATAAATATGAGCGAGAACACGATTTGAAGACTTTTATAATAGTCCCATAATTGATTGAAGGACTCGATGAAAAGCAAAATAATAACAATAATAAATTAATAATCAAAGAAAATCACAGAAGAGACAATACGGTTTGAAGCATGCCAACTATAATCCATCAAAATTTCCATGGAAAGAGAAGAAACAGTTGACTCTGTTCCAAAACAAAGAATCCAAAATAGCCAAACAAGTTTGGAAAATTAACAGAATTGTACCCAGTTTATCCTAACATGAACTTCCCACTCAAACCAGACCAGAAACCCAAAAAAAAAAGAAAAAAGAAACTGCAATTAAAACGCAAGCCAAATCGTCCAAAGTATGGTTCAATTGATACAGAGCAGGAACTGCATTTTGTAGCTTCAGGATTCAGAGCATGTTCTTCAGGAGAAAACAGGGGAGGATAAAAATCAGAGAATACATAACTAAGAAAGAAAGAAGAAGAAGGAAAAAAAAGGAAATCAGAATCAGAATGAACATGTTCTGCATATATATCAGTGTCTGAGTGAGAAGCTTGTGAGACATACCCATACACATCTCACAGAGAGAGAGAGAGAGAGAGAGAGAGAGAGAGGGATTAAATTACCAGAAAGAGGAATTGAGTGAGAAGGAGAAGGAAAAACCAGAACCAGAACATGATTCTGCTTGCCATCTTGAATCTTGGAGGTGCTCTTGTTGCTCAGTGCGGTTTCAGGAGACTGTGAGGGTAGCAAA